GGGGGGGGGTAAATATCTGTGTGAGCTAAAGAGCCTTCCCTCTGGCCTGTCCACAGCACCGCCAAGACGAGTGGCCTACAAGGGTCTGACCACACTGACCAGACCTGACCACAGTGACGTCACACTTCACTGCAGTGGCAGCCCAGCGCGGGGGGAGAGGGCCGAGACACCCCTCTGGTACAGGAACGGCGGGAGGTTGGAGAAAGGTGGGTGGTTGGCGGGTGCTCTGCTGGAGTTTGTTCCTTCTTTCCCATCAAACATCTATCGTCCTTATCTCTCCTCATTCTTTCCTATCAAACATATATCGTCCTTATCTCTCCTCCTTCTTTCCCATCAAACGTCTATCATCCTTATTTCTCCTCCTTCTTCCTTATCAAACATCTATCGTCCTTATCTCTCCTCCTTCTTTCCTCTCAAACATCTATCGTCCTTATCTCTCCTTCTTTCCTATCAAACATCTATCGTCCTTATCTCTCCTCCTTCTTTCCTATCAAACATCTATCGTCCTTATCTCTCCTCATTTCTAGTATTAGTAACTGTCTAGTAACATCTCTAATTTTCGACATTTGTTATGACTTAAGTGTGTTGGGAGTGCCGTAAAACGCTGACTAAAAATGAATAAAAATAGATGAATAAATTAATGAATAAATTAATAAATAGATAACTAGATAGATAGATAAATAGATAAACAAAAAAAACCCAATACATAAACAAACAAATAAGCAAACAAACAAATAAATAAATAAATAAGTAAATAAATCACCTTTCACCCACTTTGGTCACCTTTCAGCCAACCTCCCAGACCCGTCCCGGTACAAGTTCAGCCCAGACTTCACACAGCTCCACATAAAGGACCTTAACAAGAAGGAGGACATGGCATGCTTTCAGTGCAACATCAGCAATAGCGAAGGGTACCTTTTCATGGACGGCTATCTCAGGGTCATTGGTGAGTAGTTAGTTGGCTAGTGAGTACTCACCCCCACTCACCCCTAGCCCACACATACACACACACACACACGCATACGCACACACGCGCATACACACATACACCCTCACACTCACACACACACTCACACACACACACAC